TTCCGACATAATCACCCACTGGTGGGTGGTATCCGAGGGGAGTTCCGTACAGAAATAAAAGGCTTTTAGAACACTGACAGGATACAGGTGATCTCCGAAGCATCATTTCCCGGTGTTTTTGTATTTTTATTTACCTCATTTTACGTTTTTGTAAGATGATGGGAAAAGTTATAGTAATAAGTTTCCTTATGCTGGCTAGCAATGTCAAACGTATCTAGTAGAAAATGTGTACCTGTTTGTCATATCCTATAGAATTTTTGCGGTATTTAATTTTTTCTATGACGAGAGATCGATGTTATACGAAAATGAGGCTGCATGCTAACCGTCCAAGCTTGCTCGCCAATTATCACGCTAATTAAATTTTACGCTGCGCTATGTTATGACTAATTTATCCCTTAACAACTACTCTTGACGCGATACCTACCCCTAGGTGCTAAGAAACCGCTATCGTTGGATTCGAGATCTATTATATAGCCGTCTGTATACTATATATGAAGAGATGGGACAAACCAAATTCTGGGAAAGAATTTTGGCAATGCCAGGACAACACTCAGTTGAGTAACAAAGTGAACCTTCATTCAATAAGCCGATTTTCAAATTAAATATGGATCCATGTATTTGAATCACCTAAGGTCATTTTATCCTCAGCATAAAACTATTGACATAAAACATTCAGTCAGCAATATTCTATTTCTTCTCACAAGGCTTTCCAGGTAACAAGTATTATTTTTTTTTTTTTTGTTTATTGAATATCTCTCCCGTGGGTGTCGTAAAAAGCGACTAAGAGATTTTCGGACTGTTTGTCATCAGATAGTACATATACAGTCTGTGCTGTACTTGTCCTGGTGACCTCTCCAACCACTGGACATTGATACATACCGCAATCTTAGTCCTGTCACCCATTCGAGTACTGCGGTCCCCTTATTTTTCACCACCCTTATTTTACCCTTATCCATTTTTCCCTTCCCTACCGTATAAACGACAGCATTCCCAAGGAGCGTTGGCGACAGTCAGGCGGCTCCCCACAAATTAATTGGCCAAAACATTTGAGCAGTATGAGTATGATGCAAAGTAAGTGCGACAGTGCTAAGGCGTACCCGTAGACGACGCGCGGCAACATGTCACGTTTATTCTTCTTCTTTTCAACACATCTGCACCTCAAGCTGGATGCAAGGATAAAGTGAAAGAAAAATTTTGGGTCGATTTTGACATGGGTATGATAGGTATCCCTGAAAGTCAAGAACTTTTGATAGGTGGAGATTTTAATGGTCATGTAGGAACAACGAATGTGGATTGTGAAAGAGTGCATGGAGAAAGGGGGTTCGGAAGTAAAAACAATGATGGTTTTCATGATGGATGGTCCCTACTCCAGTTTTCCTCTTCGTTTGACCTAGCTGTAGTTAACACTTGAATCCAAAAACGTCACGAACATGTAATCACGTATAAAAGTGGTAGCCACGCGACACAGATCAACTATTTACTCATAAAAATAATAAGTATTTGGTTAATAAAGTATTAAGTAGTAGTAATAAAGTATTTGGTTTATGTCAGAGACTGAAAAGTGGTGCCCGGGGAACCCGTAGTATCGCAACATAGATTGCTGGTAATAGAGATCAAATGGAAGATTTTGACTAAGAGTAAGCAGATCCGACCTTCTCCGAGAATCAGGTGGTAAATGTTAGAGAAAGAAGAGTATGTAAGTAACTTTGAGGTAAAGGTGTTAGAAAAAATGATTGAAATGAATGCAAGGCTGTGGATGGATGGTGGGGTGAAATGGCAAATTATATACGAAAAGTAGCAAGAGAAGTATTAGGGGAAACGAAAGAAAAAGGCATTATTGAAAGTGATACACGGTGGTGGAGTGATGAGGTACAGAATGCTCTAAAAGAAAAGAAGGGTGCCTTTAAAGCGTTTAAAAATGAAAAGGGGTGTGAGAGAATGAAAGAAGTCATAATGAATGAATATAAAGAGCGGAAGAACAAGGTAAAAAAGTGGTAGCGGTAGCCAGAGCTCAAGCTCAATATAAAATATTTAAACACTTACATGAACCTAGAGGTCAAAAAGAACTCTATCGCATTACAAAAAACAGGGAAGAAAGAGCAAAAGACCTAAAGCATGTGAGATGTATAAAAGATGAAGAGGGGAGAGTGTTGGTTAAAGATAAAGATATAAAAGAGCGATGGAAACTTACTTTGAAAAAGTTATGAATGAAGAGAATGAATGGAGCGGAGTGCTGAAGGATGTGGATGTGATTGTTGGACTGGTGAACGACATTAGTATAAATGAAGTCGAATTGGCAGTCAGAGGCAGATTTAGGTATTCCCAAAGGAATGGTGTCAAACCCCACTCGTAACCATTTCCAAAATAAGGGGATGTTCAGGAATGCAACAACTATCGAGGAATATAGCTCATGTCACATACTATGAAAGTCTGGAAGAAAGTGATCGAGAGAAGAATAAGAGATGAGAGTCAGATAACTCAAAGTCAATATGGATTTATGCCAGTGCAACTATGTGAGAAATACAGGAATGCGCACAAAAACTTGTATATGGTGTTTGTGAACCTTAAAAAGGCATATGATAGGGTACCCCGAGAGGTTTTGTGGTGGGTTTTGAAAGAAGAAAAAGTGCCTGTTAAGTATGTAGAATTGATTCGTGATATGTACAGAGAGTCTAGCACTCATGTGAGGTCGGTCACGGGAAACACTGATCAATTCAGTGTCTCTATAGGCTTGCACCAGGGATCGGCTCTGAGCCCGTACCTCTTCCTGTTGATAATGAATACTCTGACATCCAACATACAGGAGGAGGCACCTTGGTGCATACTATTTGCAGATGACATTGTGTTGGTCAGTGAAGACGGGGGTGAGGTCCAGAGCAGACTGGAAAAATAGCAACAAAGGCAGGAGAATGTTGGCTTGAAAATCAGCAGAACCAAAACTGAGTACATGTTTTGCGATTTCGGCGGTCTCTCCAGTTCTGCAACCATTTCTAGGATAGGATAGCGATAACAGCCTGCTCCAATTTTAAGTACCTCGACTCCCTCTCACAATGTGATGGTGAGATTGATCGAACTGTACAGCATCGGACGAATACGGGATGGATGAAGTGGCGGCAGGTAACAGGAACAATTTGTGGCTCCAGTTTCCCCTTAACACTGAAGGGACAAATTTATAAAACTATCATCAGACCTACTATCCTGTATGGTTTTGAAAGTTGGCCCATTAAGAGAACGGATGAAAGACGCCTGAACGTAGCCGAAATACGAATGCTGAGATGGATGTGTGGTGTGACTCGGATGGACAAGGTTAGGAAGTATGAAGTATATACGAAGGAGTCTGAAAGTAGCGCTACTAGATGAAAAGTTAAGTTAAGCAATAGGTTATCCTGGTATGGACATGTCATGCGGAGGGATGAGAAAATATGTGGCGAGGAAAGTGTTAGGTATGGGAGTTGAAGGGTACAAGAGAAGAGGAAGACCAAAGAAAAGGTGGATGGACTGTTTAAGTAAGGATATGGCTGGGAAAGGAGTGAACAGTGAGATGACGAATGATAGAGTAGAATGAGTAGAAAGATGGAAGAATCATACTTACTGCGTCGACCCCAATAAAAATTATGATAAGGGTAGACAGATGATGATGATATTAAATTTACATCCATAAACCTACCCATTGTAGCGGTAACTTTGCGTGTATTCGTGTGTGTATTTAATTTTAATTACATAAAAAAAAGACCTAGTAGAAGAAGACTAGAAGTAGATTTTACAAAATGTAGATTTGAAAACTTAAAAGAATAAAGACATATTTAAGCGCTCCCATGTTAAAAAAATCCGGACAAGTGCGAGTCGGACTCACCCACCGAGAGTTTCGTACAAATTTATCAGATATTTTCCTGTACTTGTAGCATAACACAATGTTACTCGCCAAATTTCATAGTTCTAGGTCATCGGGAAATACCCTATGAATTTTGATTCCTTTGACAGTGTCCAAATAATCGTTTTTTGCGGCATAAACAGCGGTATCTTTTTTTCACGTTAACTTAGAAGTTTGATTTTTTTACAGCTTCAAGGGACTGTAGACCTGTGTATATGGTTTAATTTCGACTCGATACCTCCATGCGTTAACGAGATAAAGGGTCTTGATAGACAGACAGATGGACGGACGGACGGACGGACTACAAAGCGATCATATAAGGGTTCCGTTTTTTCCTTTTGAGGTACGGAACCCTAAAAAGAAAAAAAACATTTTCAAATAGTCGTGTTTCATCATCACTAGAACAAAAAAAGAGCACTAAAGTTTTACTAGCTAGTCGTCCATATTGGGTACCTGTCTCGTAGCAATTAGGCATCGTCAGAGTTATTTCATTAATTTGTGTCATTTTAGCGGCGCTGGATTTGTGACGTACAATGATGACGCCACGTTATACGCTGATTCTAATTGGGTGTTCGGCGGCGTCGGTCCATATGGCGTGAGCCGATTTGACGTCAGCGAGTGCTAACGAATGCGCTCATGAGTATTTTGTTTACGACCCCTGGCCGTGTAATGTCAACCGAAATGTTTTTTTTTATTTTGACTTGACTTGCAGGTTGAGTATACACTTAATTTTGGAAATGTGTTGTGTTAATGTTGTGACTGTATTTTTCTTCTAAGATTTAATAAATTTAATTTTGTAACTAGAATAGTGGCAGTAATTTCAAAACATAATGAATCAGACATTTTGAACATTATTGCTATGAATGTGTTGGGATGATATTGCTATGGTAGTGGGATAGACAAGGAGTAATACTTTATTATGACATGACACGTACAATGACAAATATTTTTTAAATACCTACTTGTAAAATATGCTATTAAAATATACAATTATAAAAATAATAATTGCGCAATACAGTTCTTAAAATACAATTATTTTTGAAAATTTTATAGTTATCGTATATTACTTCAAAATAGATATTTTTTATCTAATCATCTAGATTATAAATGTACCTATTAATTATATAATTTATGACAGTAGATTATTGATCCAATCGATGTAAGAGGTAACCCTTGTAAATGCACTGGGAAGACTGTTCTGACACCTACGGGTAGTTCCGAAAGAGGTCACGCCGATCTGTTAAAACGATGTATACATAAGTAAAGATATTAGACGAAAGTAAATAAAAATTTTAAAATTTGAATTTTAAATGAATCAATTAATATCAGAAACAAAAAATACGTACCAAGATTCGTTTTTTGCGTCTAGTGATTACAAGAGGACCACCAGAGTCACCCCCGCAGACGTTCTCGCCCCTAACACCCTTGCTACAAATATTGGAGCGCCGTACGATCTGGAAACCTTGACGGCATTGTGAGTTGCTGATGACTTTTAATTTAACGAAGCTCAGAAATGTTTTCGAATGTAATTTTTCACCTGGAATATGATGGTTAATAATTTCCGTTGCTTACATTAAGTTTTGTTTGTAAAGATTTATTTGTCCGTGTGGTAACGGATTAAGAATCCCAAGTGTCACCACCCCTATTAATAGGTGTTGTAAGGGCCGACTAAATAAACCAACTACGCAGGACAACAACACTAAATAGAAGGAAAACTTTAAACAAACCCTATACCAACCCGTCTGGCCAGCGCGATACGCAGGCCAAAACCTTACTGAGGGAGAGCCTTCGGCATAAATGGGCCTGCTTGACCGGTGCGATGCAAGGGCCTCGGCCTCGGCCAAGGCCATGTTGCATTTCATCGAGTCAGTGAGGTTTGCCAGAGGCCAACCCCCTCAACACCTCCCCCCCCTTATGATAGCGTCGTTGAACAACAGTCTCCCCAGGGGGGTTCCAGCTCAGAACACCGTGCATCTGGGCGTGGATGTCTAGGCTGCCCCGCATATTCTGGGGGAGAGGGGCAGGCAAATTGCGCTCAACAAGATAACTACCTACGGCAAGAGCAGGCACATCAGGTAAGCACTCACCACTCTTGACGTGGATTTCTGCAACATCAGAGGTCTACACTCCAACTTTAACGCTGTCCACAACAACCCCCAGACAGTGAAGCCGGATTTGCTCTTTTTAACAGAGGCGCAGATATCATCTCCTTCGGACACATCCTACATTTCCTACCCTTGCTATCAGCTAGAACACTCCTTCATTACTATGGCTGGAGTGTGCTTGTGTAATTCTGTCACTGATGTAATGCTTCGGGGCATGGAATTATTCGTTTCATCTACATTCATTCCCATCGGTGGCAGATCTGAGTCTTGGTTCAACAGAGCCTGTAAAACAGCGTCGTGCCAAAAGCAGGAATGTTACCAAGCGTGGGCTAATGCAGCGACGGTAGGTGATGTAAACACCAGCCCGCTAAAAAGGCAATATAACTGTAAAGTTAGTGAAGTGAAGGTAACTTCAGGTCCCTCAAAAGAGCCATTGCCAGGGCGAAATCGGAAAAATCGGCAATCGGAGCACATCAGCCGGATTGGTAAGAGACTGGTAAACTTCTAAAGAAGCTCGGTGTGCTGAACAGTTCGAGGCAGTATTTCACTCCAGCCCATCGTCTCCAACTCTATAAGGCGCAAGTCCGGCCGCGTATGGAATACTATTCTCATCTCCATGCAGGAGCAGCAGAGCAGTACCAGCTTCTCCCTCTGGACCACATCCAAAGAAGAGCGACTCGAATTGTCGATAGCCAAAAGAACTCCGACTGGGTCGATCCCAAGCGTTCGTAGAGATGTAACTTCACTGTGCATTCTCTATTGTATGTATCATGGAGAGTGCTCCGAGGAATTGTTCGGACTACTACCAGCCGCAACTTTCCGATATCGTTCCACACGGCAAAATTTTCTTCCCACCACTTGGATAATTGACACTCCACCACTGTGCGCTTTTCAAAACACTTTTTGCTTCGCACTACCTACCTGTGGAACAAGTTACCGTCACCAGTATGCCCGGACCGATGCGACCTTCAAGAAAAGACCGTACTCCTTCCTCAAAGGCCGGCAACGCGCTTGTGGCTTCTGAGTTGCAGGCGAATGTATCTTTTTTGAATGAATTTTGATTGAATTCTCAACGATTTCGCTTGATCTTGTATATTGTTGTAAAGAGTCGTATTTCATCAATTGATAAAAACGTTTATAGGCAATGGTCATCGTCATGACTTAGCTGCAGTCAGGCCATTGAGAACTTTAAAAAAGTATATGGAATAGTAGTAGGATATGAATTGTATTTTGATTAATATTAAATAAAAGTTATAAAATCAACCGACAGTTACAAAAATCATAAATATAAAGTTTCTCACCGTCTCTGGTTAAGCCAAAGCCAGAAGCAATTGCCGTGTCGCCAACAAAATTTTTGTTCACATCCTTTCGTGAGGGCAAAGCGATGGGACTGATGATATCTGAGAATAAGATTTCTCAAATTAGCAGTTGTATCAATTTATACAAATAAATAAAATTAAAGTGTCTGTTTTTAATGACAAAATAATAGGCTTTTTTTATGCTCACATGGTTATTGGCACGATACCTATGCCTAAAAACCAGTTTAAATATTTTTTGTCTATATGTCTGTCTGTCTCTTTGTTCCGAATAATCTAAGTAATAAAAAAGTAGCTGTCTATATAAGGAGTAACTAAGGTTATTTTTCTCTCAGAAAAACCCTATAAAATTTTGCCGGTCCGGGAATCGAACTTACTAAGGCAGCGCTTTTCAAATTCCACGCAAACGAAGTCGCGGCCAAAAGCTAGTATATCATAAGCAATGTAGCAAATTTTAATGGACCTTAATGACAGCGTAAGATATTTAAGTATTTCGATCTGCAAAGCTTCTATACAGGCTTAAGTTTACTTTGTAAATATCAATTTTAGAACCATTTGTAAATACTATAAAGCATAGTACAATATTAAATAAAAAAAAAAAAGTTTAAATCAACCATAATAAATTATCAACTCCTCCATCTATATTTGGAGAATTATTACGAGTAGCTACTCATGTTAAGACAGATACAAAATCCAAAACCTAGCCATGGGAGAGCCATGCTTTAGTACAAACAGGCTGGCTCGATCGGAGTCATCACGGCGTCACAAAAAACTGGTGTTGAGCAATCTTTTCATTGGTTTTGACCGTATGATGAAGGTTACCGGAGCTCAAACCTCCCTTCCCTCTGATTCTGATGAGGAAGATTCGAATGGCGGCATTTCACTTATGACTCTTGAGTTGGTGGTCTCCATGGACAGCGGTCGTCACTTACCAACAAGTGACCCATCTGCTCGTTTGCCCCAAATGCCATAAAAAATGTAAAAAGCATGTAAAAAAAATATTAATTTATGACTTACTCGAGAATCGGATAGTTTTCGATAAATAAATCATTGCTATGTCATTGCGTTTAGTCACTGGATTATATTTGTTGTGCATTACAACTTTCGAGGTCTGAATCCTTATTCCACCACTGAATAGGGTAAGCGAACCAAGAACAACGACAAATCCTCTTGCTTGTTGTTGACCATCATGCCAACAATGAGCAGCAGTAAGAACTCTCCTCTCATTAAGTAGAGAACCGCCACAAACACTTAACCCACCGGTAACGTCCGCAATAAGGCCAGCCTGGGAAATAACAGTACATTCAAATAGGTACACGTATTCTGCAAAAGACGCATTAAACATTCAATTCAACTGGCTGCACGGATGGCGTAGTGGTTTTGCTTTCCGCTTTCTACTAAGCTGAGTGTTGTGGGTTCGTTCCCCACATGAGACGACACTTTGTGTCATCCACAAATGTTTCATGTATGTTTGTGAAGTCCCCCCAGTCTGAACAGTTGAACGTCTCAAAGTGACGTTGTGTACTGACCTGGTATGGAAAATCTCCTAGCTTAGCAGCAAAACCCTCTACGATTCTACTAGACGGTTCCATAGAAGGCTCTTGTTTTGGGCTAAGTTTAAAGGGTTCTTCTTCGGCTTGACGTATTTTAGTAGCCAATTGAAAGCCAACTGTGGAAAGATATCCATACACGAAGTTATTTTTAATGCTGATTGGATCTTTACTAAACATGGATCCTAAGGCAGCGTGAGCTACCAGCCCTATCAGAATGAAAGCTAAAGACCTCATGTCGGAGAAGTCAAATGTTATTTGTTAGATTACAATGGTTTGTACCATATTTATACTGTTTTAAACATAATAAAATTGTGTCACATATCAATCACGTCAATTCAATTTTTTTTCGGGATTACCGTATTAATCAATAGATGAATCAGAACCGCAAAAACTGTGTTTATTCGAAATATTATGTCCTTTCTTTATTAAACTTTTCTACATATTAGGCAGTTGTTATTGTGTATAACTGAATCATATTTTGAAGTATCTAAAAACCGACAACTACGGTTTGCCAAATAGGGTTTTAGGTGTTATTTTGTGAATATTTTAAATCGAAAACAGGGAAATTTATATTGATATATACGCACGAATTTGTTTTCTTTATTTTGAAATCTTCCATTTACTTATTTGCTTCTTTGTTAATAAAAGATAAAAGAAATCTAAGCACATATAAGGTTCTTAACGCATTCCAATCTAATTTTCAATAGAAAAAAAATTGAGATTTACCAAAAAGTAATTGATTGATTTATATAAAACTAAAAAATCGATTTCTATTTATTACTCGGAATTGGAAACATAAAAATAAGTGTCTAGAAGTACTTAAGTCCTTATTTTACGAAGCTTGTCATGCGCTTCGAAATAATTTTCCAAACAATTTCTACTACTACTACTAAATAATTTTCATATTTATATTCCAAATTATTCCTTAAAATTATTATAATAATTTACAAATACTGTTCGACCGTAGTGGTTTAAGCCGTCGCCACGTAGCTACCTACTTCGCCGAGTGTTGTGGGTTCAAACCCCACATGGAACGACACTGTGTGATCCACAAATTGTTGTTCTGAGTCTGGGTGTACTTTGTGTTTCATGTATGTTTGTAAAGTCCCCCGCGACACAGGATTTAATTCTACGACGGGAGTTGTCATAAAAAATATATTAAAAAAAGTATTTAAAGGCTACTTACATATTATTAACTGAGGTAATATAAACACTTGAACTGCAAATCTGCTCAAGTTCGTACCCAAGAAAATCTTCAAAACTTATTGAACTTATCACAAAAGATATCTGCGTCCAATAATCGATCGAGACAGTTCGTTATAGGATAAGTTTATTCTGGTTATTAGTGAGGTAAGACCTACCTAAGTTAGTATTAAATCTACTCGAATCGGAGAAATAGATTTTTTTTTAAGGATTTTATATAAAAATGAAAGATAATGTATCTTTTGTCTATCATTAAGCGAGATTCCTCAAAATATTTCAGAAGAGCTATGTACGAATTTAGGGGTACACTACAGTTTCGGGGCACCAGGGACTTCCTTTCTAGGATATACCTGGTGCCCCGGCTATTAGTACCCGAGAAGGCGTGCGGTTTTAGTCGGTTCGAGTCCGACATGCCGGATGCGGTTCGTATCCGAGGGGATTTTCGCACGCAAGAAAAAGGGGTACACTACAGAAATAAGAAAAAAATTATTTAGTCAGTCACAAATACGAATTTCAAAATATCGTTTTTCAAAAGTCCGAATGGTTCAAAATTCCGAATATAACAACTCTGATTTATCATTCATTATAAGGAGAAGAAAACAAAAAAAAAAAAACATACGGTAAAAGCAACAAAGTAGACGTTTTTAAATTACATTAAACGTTAATTATAGCTTTTGAATATATATGTGTAACTGAATATTATACTAACTGAATCAGAATTAAAATCGTAATTTTAGCAATTTACTCGACCCAACAATTTACGGACCGAGAACACATCGAGCATTTAATTCCTCGAACGTATAAAAATCGGAAACAAACAAATCGCATTTACGACTTTCGGTAAAATAAATTTCGTGAATTTTCGTAATAGACATTATAATTATTAGGTATTATGAAATTCGGACTTTTGAAAATCGGAACATCGAATTTCGGAACAAAATATTCGAATCGAATTGAAAAATTCATTTAGTGTTGGATAGCCCATTTATCAAGGAAGGCTAAAGGCTAAAGGAAGGTAGCTAAAGAGCGGAGTATCGAAGACAAATGTTACAAAAACGGGTGAAATGTATTCCTCGAAGTTTATGATATAAGTAAGATGTGTAATGTATTTATCATTCTTGAAGTTTTAAAACGATCATAAAACACATTGTAGCTTTGAATATTTTATTTTACTTTATACATCTGGTTTATAAATTATCATGAATAAACGTAATGTAAGACGTGACGCGAGCAAATACACTAGGTAAACCTAATTGACAACCTAATATGGATCCAAACGAAGTCACACCGATCTGCAACAAATTAAAAAGTTTTAGTTATACAAAATAATATAATTTAAAATAAATAACTTCTTAAAAAGTATGACCGACTACAATGCGCTTACATTGTGATGAATTGTAATGAATAAACTTTTTTACCCATTAATTTTTACCCATAGGTGGTCCCAAATTTGATGGACCTAATGAAGAGTTTTAAAAGACAATTATGTAAATATATAAAACTAATTGGTTCATTCACTTCATTGGTTAATATCTTTAAATCATTCGCGTTTTTTCTTAATTATTACTTGTCAATTGATTTATCCCAAAACTTATTACCAATACCTACATATTATACTTCTGTAGATTTAGTATCATTATACACACGTGAATCTATATATTTGTATGTATGTAGAGAGAATACAGAAAATATATTACTATAACACTTCTTCCGTTTCGTTCAACAACAAGAGGGCCACCAGAATCCCCACGGCAAGTACTTCCACCGTTATTGTCGCTGGTGCAAATGTTCGTTGATTGGACCACAAGAGGATATATCATTTCGCAGATTTCGTTCTCAATAACGTTCAAGTGGACGAAATTCAGAATTGGCGAATCTACAGCAATATCATCTGGAATTACATCATTTAATATTAATTGACAAAATGTTAAGATCAAGCGATACATTTTATACTCTAAATATATTTAATATAATAATAAGAACATTATTACACTGGTACACTACAGAAATAAGAAAAAAATTATTTAGTCAGTCACAAATACGAATTTCAAAATATCGTTTTTCAAAAGTCCGAATGGTTCAAAATTCCGAATATAACAACTCTGATTTATCATTCATTATAAGGAGAAGAAAACAAAAAAAAAAAACATACGGTAAAAGCAACAAAGTAGACGTTTTTAAATTACATTAAACGTTAATTATAGCTTTTGAATATATATGTGTAACTGAATATTATACTAACTGAATCAGAATTAAAATCGTAATTTTAGCAATTTACTCGACCCAACAATTTACGGACCGAGAACACATCGAGCATTTAATTCCTCGAACGTATAAAAATCGGAAACAAACAAATCGCATTTACGACTTTCGGTAAAATAAATTTCGTGAATTTTCGTAATAGACATTATAATTATTAGGTATTATGAAATTCGGACTTTTGAAAATCGGAACATCGAATTTCGGAACAAAATATTCGAATCGAATTGAAAAATTCATTTAGTGTTGGATAGCCCATTTATCAAGGAAGGCTAAAGGCTAAAGGAAGGTAGCTAAAGAGCGGAGTATCGAAGACAAATGTTACAAAAACGGGTGAAATGTATTCCTCGAAGTTTATGATATAAGTAAGATGTGTAATGTATTTATCATTCTTGAAGTTTTAAAACGATCATAAAACACATTGTAGCTTTGAATATTTTATTTTACTTTATACATCTGGTTTATAAATTATCATGAATAAACGTAATGTAAGACGTGACGCGAGCAAATACACTAGGTAAACCTAATTGACAACCTAATATGGATCCAAACGAAGTCACACCGATCTGCAACAAATTAAAAAGTTTTAGTTATACAAAATAATATAATTTAAAATAAATAACTTCTTAAAAAGTATGACCGACTACAATGCGCTTACATTGTGATGAATTGTAATGAATAAACTTTTTTACCCATTAATTTTTACCCATAGGTGGTCCCAAATTTGATGGACCTAATGAAGAGTTTTAAAAGACAATTATGTAAATATATAAAACTAATTGGTTCATTCACTTCATTGGTTAATATCTTTAAATCATTCGCGTTTTTTCTTAATTATTACTTGTCAATTGATTTATCCCAAAACTTATTACCAATACCTACATATTATACTTCTGTAGATTTAGTATCATTATACACACGTGAATCTATATATTTGTATGTATGTAGAGAGAATACAGAAAATATATTACTATAACACTTCTTCCGTTTCGTTCAACAACAAGAGGGCCACCAGAATCCCCACGGCAAGTACTTCCACCGTTATTGTCGCTGGTGCAAATGTTCGTTGATTGGACCACAAGAGGATATATCATTTCGCAGATTTCGTTCTCAATAACGTTCAAGTGGACGAAATTCAGAATTGGCGAATCTACAGCAATATCATCTGGAATTACATCATTTAATATTAATTGACAAAATGTTAAGATCAAGCGATACATTTTATACTCTAAATATATTTAATATAATAATAAGAATAATAATAATTCGTATTATTATTAATTAATTAAAATATGCGCTTATAGGTGTTTCATTAGGTGTGATCATACTTTTTTACCTTTATGTGTAAGAAGTTGGTACGGTGTAAACTTAAACAGTTTTTTGTTTGTTTATTTCAGCAGGTTAACCTGTAGAAGTATATCCCTAATGGTTTTAGGATTTAATGCAATGGTGCATCAATGGAAGCAATATCTAACAGGATTTTGCTTACCATTAGGTAAAGGTTCACATCTAATTTTTTTGTGTATAACAAATAAGCTTACAGTTGAAGAACCAAAACGCTTAAATGTTACCTTGTCGTGTATACTCTCTATACTCACAATTTTCCCATCTAATCTCTTAAGTGCCCAGTTGACGGCAATAAGCTAGCCCCATATTACGTAAGTGGGATTATATTACAGTCTGCGAAATGTAGGCTTTGCCTGAACCTTTTGCAAAGGCATTAAAAATGTTTGTTTTATAAAAAAATGCCTAGAGAATAGAAAATTTTAGGTAATTATTACTCGAAATTGCATAAAAATTCAATCTCTTTATTACTGTCATTTGTAACACCGAAGCCACTGGCAATCGCGATAGCACCAACAAAATCTGCATTTAGCTCATCACCAGAGGGTAGTGCAACCGGTGCAATGTATCCTGGAAATAAAAAAGAATGTCTGTAGAAGAACTCGCATTTCAATATAAAGTGAAATTAAAGGAAGCTAGAGTATTAAATTTTGAATTTAATTTACCAGACACCGGGTTTGGAATGTATTTTACAGGGCTTTATATTTGACTGCCTCGGTGGTGCAGTGGTAGCGTATGCGACTGCTGTGCTGAGGTATCTTGTTCGATTCCCGGGTCGGACCAAATATTTGTCCGAAAATTATAGTCGGGCATCCAACAAATACGCAGGAGAGTAATACCATGTTTGTTGTATAAACATGAATGACTAAATTACTATCTTTAAAATTACTTACTTGAAAATGATATAGAGTTAGGTAAGTATATCACAGCGATATCGTTGCGCGCCAGCACGGGGGTCCAATTTGGATGGGTAACCGCAAAGCTACTTTCAGTTCTAACACCTCCATAGAACAGGAAAACTGATCCAAGAATGATAGTAGCTTTCGAGACTTGATTTACACCGTCGAACCAACAATGGGCAGCGGTGAGGATTCTATTTTCACTTAAGACTGTACCACCACAGGCACCAACTCCAGTCAGATTAGTTATAGATAAAACAAGACCAACCTGCAATATGCATATTTAATCTACTATTAATAAAATAGAGTTAAAAAACATCTTTTCTGAGGACTTTAAAACCATTATTTTGACTGCCTTGGTGCAGTGGTAGCGTATCCGACTGCTGTGCTGAGGCCTCGGATTCGATTCGGACCAAATATTTGAATGATCTGCAAATATTTGTTTCGGAGTTTGGGTGTTTTATATGTATATTATGTATGTATGTACACCTATCCTCCGCTATTATTCGTCTCAGCGCCGACTTCAAACAAACCAGAAGATATTTTTATATGTTTTGAGTGTCACATTATTTTAGTCTTTTCCATTAAATTTATAAAGTACATTTAAGTCACAATTAAAAAAGCTCCTCATTAAAAATGTTATTATAATGTATTAGACATTATCTCTAACAATTTGTAGTGTTTTTTTTATTTTTTATAATTATTGTTTTTTTCATCCTGACATTAATTGATTATTTTGACTATAGTTTGACTTTGAATATTTGACATTGTATGTATCACAATCTTTTTATGGTAATCAATGATGCTAATAATATACCTGTAGGTTATTTTAAGTTATGTTTAAATTATATGCAATTATAACTGTACACATTGAAAATTTGCACACCCATAGTGGTAAAGCATAGTGAACCTGTTTGTGAATTGAATACCATGTAATTAATACCTGTGTTATGCAAATAAACAATCTGAATCTGATTTACAAAAAATAGTATATAAGTATTCTATCAGTCCATCCAGCTTTCATATTAAAAGCTCTGTTTTGTTTGAAACTAGATGGCGTTGTGTGTCAGATGTCCGAAATATAATTATTATTCTTGACTGGCCTTTTAATCTAGTGTTATCTGCCCCGGCCGACTAACAGGCCTGTCAGTCTAGTTAGTGATCCTAATTTCTGTACTAGAGGTCATGGGTAAGATTCCCATCTAGAAAAAATAATTGTGTGATGAAAGCAAGCATTTGTTCTGTATGTAGGTATAATGTATCTATAATAAGTATTTATATCTTTATATTTGGTCGTCATAATACAGGATCTACGGAGGAGGAGGAGTTGACAAGTGGAACCCAGACGTTTGCGTGTGAGATGTAATGAGAAAAAATATGAGACATAAAGGACACTTAATCTAAGGTCAGCTATTTGAATTATAAAAATAAAACTATTCGATGAAGGACTCGAATCGATCCCCATAACACAAATATCATTCCTAGTGGCAGTTGATTTGAAAAAAATCTGTAAGATTTTGGCGGAAATATTTCCCACGAAGTGTTTTTAAGTTCAAACATTAAAGTTTGTAAAAACAAATGTAACAACTGTTAGGAAACCATATAAATAAACAAATTATAGGTCATAGGTATGGAAACGGGCGTATCGATTATTTAGAGACACTGATAAATACTTACTACGAAGCGGATCGAATTTTCATTCAATATCATTTACAAGTATTTGCAAAAACATAAAATTAGTATATTTTATATCTAGTAAAAAAACATGATATACAGGTTAAAAGGGACTAAATTCTTTGAGAATAAATCAGCCTGACTTGATAACCTACTAAAGCTTTTAGCTCAATCAGATGTCAAATCATTAGGTACTTTAAGTTTTTGAGTAAAGTTATACGAGTATGGGTTTAATAAAAAAATAATTGAAAATAACATAAGCTACGAGGTGCTCATATTTAAATAATTATCTAGTAGTTAAAAGTTATAAAAATAATCTGTTTTAAAATCATTATCATAATTATTTTCCATATGCGCGTACCTGATATGGGTATTGCCCATAATCAGCTGGGGCTCCACCAACAATCCTTTGCTGGCTATTGTATTTCTCTTCCACTTTTCGAATTCTATTCGCTTCAGGAATCGATATTTTCTTAAGATAGTTATAAGCAGAGTGGGCAGGAATGGATCCATCATTGATACATTCCGTTAATACGAAGTTCAGCACCATAATCAGAGTAGCTACCTTCATATTAACTGATTCCGGACAGAGATTGGTGTAACAGTTTACCTGCAATTAATCGATCGGGTGATATATACTCGTATATATATATATAAATAGGAGCCGAACATTAATGAAAAATATTGTCCTGTTATTTTAACATTTCAAAGATTTAATTGTTTATGGCATACAATACTTTATATAACATAATAAATAAGCAAAGACAGAGCGGTTAAGGTTCATTTTTTCTACTCCAATACTAGGATTATACATTTAAAAAAAAATTATAACCATTGTCTTTAAGATGGATAAGACATAGCAATTAAGTACTTTTTTGCTTCTAAACCGATTTTTTAAACGTTTAATTTTAATTCCAACTTATGATAAGACTTTGCACGGCCTTAGGTGACCAAAATACGTAGGTATAAGTGTAGAATAAATAGAAATATGCAAATTGTCTCTTTCTCCAATTTCCATTTACTGAAAATTAAAATTCTTACCAAGTCCGACTCTAAACCAGATCAAAATACATTATCGTTAAGCTTAAACTTTAAACTAAGTTTTTATTACTGAAGTTACAATTGTCTAACGCTCACCAAATAAAAAAACTAGCGATCTAATCAAATATGACAATATTTTTCATGTTTCTGTTGTCTAATATCTTACAATCTTATCAAAAAAAGATAATCATACATATTTACATCTCGTTAAGAACTAAAGTAATACTATTTGTTTAGATAAAAACAATCAATTAAAATACAATTTTGCTTTCTAAATTAAGACCAGTCTCAGTTAGTGTGCTCTGGCGTTACCATGTTACGTTTGAAATGTAAGATGTTGAAGCTGCCCTTCTCCATAACGTCTGTATATAATAAACAAGTATTTGGATGTCATAATAAGTGCATGTTACTAAATCTCGATATACTTAGTAGGTTTTACGAATCAAAAATCACAACACTAACTAAATTAGATACATAATATATAAAATTACAAGTATGAATGAAACCTGACCTTGAAGGAAATTACTGCTTTAAGTCCACCAGTATAGATATTTTCACATAAACTGTTAATTAAAAAATAATTATATGTATAGATTCTATCCTTACTAATACTGATTTAATTAAGCCTTGACTTTTTTACTTTGTCACAGAACACTGTTTTTGTACTTGTTAGATCTAAGAAACAAACGATAAAAGTGATCTTATTCTGAGTGTTTTTGGTGCAATATTTATCAACAGCGATATCCAGGTTATCTGAAATTCTTATTGAAAATAGTTTTATATGTACGTATAAGCAAGTAAATATTAAGATAAACAATAATCTGTTAAATGCCGATTGATATTCGAGTTCAATATACCGTCGTACCGTTTGGCCTCAGTGAGTTGACGACCTGTGTAGAAAGACCTGTAAAGAAAAGCATAAGTATATTTCGTCTCAATTTGCTTGTTCAGTATACCTCTATGTACATATTGTATAACCTTCTATATTGTAGACTAGGTTACACGTTCAGTGTTTTTGCTAGCTCTACTACCACACAAAAATTAGTTTTGACATTGGTAGAATTTGAGGGGGAAATGTTCACGTATAAGAAGAAAATTTTCTTAACTAAAATAGTCTTTTAAAAAGATGGGGCGGTTTAAAAACAACTATGCATTTATTTTTGTTCATTGTAATAATGGTACAATCTTTGAAAGTTTTGAATTATTTTAATTTAGGTTAATGCTGAGACTATTTTTTATAAATCTAATTAAAATACACAAAAAATAATTTTAAGAATCCCACTGGCAGTTTAAGACAAAGGAACAACAACATATATTTTAGATGGTGTAAATATATGAAGTAGGCACTACAGGAAACAGGATATTCATGCAAATGGGTAATATCGATAGAACAATACATTGCTGTTGTATTAAAAACCACATGAGGAACAACAGGACAACAAATTACTGTACGAGATATGCCTCACGTACGAGCTATGACTCATAAAAAGCAAATACAATTAATTAGTCACAGGCCTAATCTTGCTACTGTTGAAGATATTCTATTTTGTGGTATAAAGTGAAACTGATCAATATATATAGATCAAAATTCAATCGATGTGAAGTTTTTATACAAGGCCTAAAAATCTGACTCTGTCTCAGTGCGTGAGTCAAAATCTAACTCTGATTTTGACTATAAATGTATGGTTGCAATAATAGTAAGTACAGTGGCTATGTGTGTAGGTACTAAATATTTTAGTAGACACTACATCGAATTTGTATAATCCAAATTATTTTGGATTATTTCCATAAAGTTTGCATAAAGTTGTTACTTGGCATACAATAAGGCATTTTTGAATACAAACGCCCTAACAAAAAAACTTAAACAAAAAATTTCGTGAGTGAAGATGGTCAGGAAAGCTACGAGTGTACAGTATAAGTTGATAGGCCGGCTCTCCCGCAATGCGCTTCTACAAACAATTTCAGTCTCTGCCTTGCACAGGGGACTGTCACTCAAGCGCTCGCGCGGAACAACCCAATGATATTAGCCTCCCATTCAGTGTTGATCTCCGAGTTACTTACCTTTTACCCTTTGATGTCCGTAAACTGTGCCTTGTATCAAGGGAACGGAAGTTCAAGATAAATTGGACTGTCTATTTAGTCTAAAGTCAAACTCTTTAGTTATGCTGACATTGTATTCAGATTCAATTCGCATACTCGTGTCAGTTTTGTTATCTTTCGTTTTTTGGCAAAGGTTGAGGATTATTTGTATGACAATAGCGGCGAATAATTGGGTGCATTGTGATCGCTTCACCGTTGAATTTTCTAACAATCGTTCTTTACTCACTAAAGGATTTTTTGTACACAATAGTTGTGAAAAGTTCCTCTTTCTTTTCTGTTTTTTCTTTATTTCAGATATATGCTTTCGAAAAAGGTAGATCAGAAACATTGTATTAAATTTTGAATTACATTGCTAGTCTATGTCAAATTGAGATTCGATTAGTCGTAGCGAACTTGAAACGGAGTGAGTAGTGGCGGCCTCAAACATTAATCGAATTTCGGTCTTCGGCAGGCGGACGATCAAGTGTGCGTTAGTTCACATTACCAGGCCTCTCAAGTCTCACTCGATACTTGCGATCGAGTGTTCGATATACGATATCGACTCGAGACGTCTACCACGAGTGATTGCAGGATGTCAAGAGGTCGTAACCGAGGATTACTGCAATAGGACTCACCTTACCCGCATGATAGGTAAGGTAAAGCTTTCCATTTTCGATACTATCAAGAAATCGTAGGTTTAAGATTCAAATGCCTTAAATATGAAAACTTTGTATCATAGAAGTAATACTGCAATAACCTGAAATATAGGTTAATAAAGGACCTCGTGCTTAATCTAATACTTATTTAGTTAAAGTAAAATTCCGTATTTTTTGAGATCCAATTTATAATTGAAAAATATTAATATAATGTATTATAATTATAATGAAAATATTATTAGAGGTTTCCCATTCTAACGTTAAATCTTTTAGTAATTTCAAGAGTTTAGTCCGTAAAATAGATTTTGATATTACAAGAATTTCTTTTCACTTATTTATTAAAATAAAATAGTTATGTATTAAAAACTTCCTAATTATTACTCTAATGTTTGTAAAAGACGTCCCTAAAAACGAAAAATAAAGCTAAAATAAAGCTTAAAAGACAGACGATAAAGAGCAAAAACTTCAAAAAACACTAAAAACTTCTTTCTACTTTCGGAATTTAATCTCAAATAGTATAATTCGAATAGGTATTATGTACTAAATAATCATCTAGTTTGATATGAATCTGTCTATCCGCGCTGGTATTGTCATGGGCCAGATTAGCAGTCTGTTAAGCTTGGGATTAACATCAGTTTCCGCATAACTAGCCTATCGATCTCTTCTGATTGACAGCCTCACGTTTTACAACGAACTATTTTCGATATCAATTAATTCGATCATCGATACAATGGATAATTATTCTTGAACGTAGTCTTTTAAACATGTTAGGGACGTTCGTTGTCTGTTATAATAGAACTAGCTGGTACCCGAGACTTTAAAACTGGAATTTAAAAAACACTGCCTTAGTGGTACACCACGCGCACCGTACCGTACCGCCCGTGCAGTCGCGTACCGTACCACAATTCGATTCCCAGACTGGGCAAAATTTATAGAGATTTTCTTAGAGGAAAAATAGCCTAAGTTACTCCTTATATGGACAGCTACCTAAAAAGGTAGGTAGTAAAATTTTATCAAAATCGGTACTGCCGTTTTGAAAATTACCCGGAACAAACAGACCGATTCACAGACTGACAGATCAAAAATATTTAAACTGGTTTTTAGGCATAGCATAGCATAACCATGTGAGCATGAAAAAACCTATTATTTTGACATTACAAACAGACATTTAAATTTTATTTATTTGTATAGAACATAAAATGAACATCAGGCACCCATAAAACTCAGAAGGTTAATTATGGCCTATTATTTTCAAATCTAAAACATTGGGATCACTAACAGTTGCCAAGGTTACCACTTAAAATCTTGGCGCTGTCTTTTAGTTAATCTCTTTAATTTCATTATAAGTTTCATTTCGTTTATTACTTCCTCTGTAATTGATTGATCATGATGGTCAAGTATCGTTATAACCTATATAATATAAAGTATAGATAGGTTGGATGTTCAGGATGATTATTTTAGATGTTAGAAAAATATATTTACTGTTTTAAATCAAAATACAAAAATCAATATGTACATAAGAACAAAAATAAAAGCCAACTTTCAATGAAATATTTATTGGTCTAATGCATATACTCCACTTTAATTGTTTTAATATAACATCCTGGTTTATCACCATTATCAAAACGAGTACAAAATTCAGTATTTTGTGCATCAAACTCAGTTTAAATTGCGTGTTTAAAGCAGCGCTTTTAGCGAAATATTCAGCAGTTAATTCGTTGTCCGAACAAATGTTTTAGGAAACTTTTTATGAAGGGATTGAGATTTCTTTTATGCCAGCAAGACAGTGCAGCTAACTTGACATTGATTATTAAAATTAAAACTTCAAACTCCTCAATGTTTTAGTAAGGACACTGCAAAAAGCAAAGCGGAGTTAACATCGGCTCCGGGCCATTTGCGTCCCCTAGTAGTAACCATCAAGGGATTCAATGATAATAATGTTAAGTTCACTAAGAGCTTTGTCATTCTGGAGCCTAAAAATTCCTGGCCAATCGATTGTAAACACATTGTTGAAAATTCTTGAAAATATTTATGTGCCTGTATTGCTCATAAAAGGCTGAAAGGGTTTCAAATCTAAAGACGAGTATACGAGTATATATGATATTACTGTCACATCATATTCCCGTTTGAACTATGAAAGTGACAACCGCTTGTATTGCTAAATAAATATAATTAAAAGCGAAGTGTGTTCGCAACGTGACAGCGGGAGGACGTTAATGCCAGCGGACTAAATAACGTTAGAGCACCCTTGTTACTGCAATTACGCCCGGCCCGGTTAAAATGTCCGTTCATTTTAAAGTTTTCATCCGGATTTGACACGCGACAGACCATAAAACGTCAATGAGCAAGACACAATGCCACATTTTAAATTTTATTTATCTGTAAGTTGTGTTTTGGTGAGGTAGTTTTCGAACATAATAATCTCATATGAAAATTAAAACTCTTTTATTTGTATTTTATGCATCGCCATATTTTTATACACATTTTTTTTAAATGAGCTAACGGGTCAGCTCATGGAAAGTGTCTACTCTGTCTATATGTATAGGTTAAGGTAAGCATAATATTGAAAAAAAGCATTGGTTGTCCGCTGCTTCTTTCGCGGTATTAAGGATTTTGGAATTAAATTTAGGTATCCTTCGAAAATAGTACCTTTTTCTTTATAAAAGGTATCTCTTAATTGTTTTCTGTAACCCCAACAACGTGTGTGCAAAATTTCAAGATGATTGGTTGAGTATAATATTATTTAGATTAAAATATTCAGATGCACTATAAATAAGAATTCTTATTAAATTTATAAATGGTTAATTAATTATCCTTGCCAAAATGTAGTTTTCTAAATACACAACAAATCCTGCTTAGTACAAGCTGCACAAGCCTTTATATTAAAAAACTGTATATTTTGGTTTATTATTTGTTTTTGAACACCATGGCTACAATACAGTTTATCTTGAGTTTTCTGTAAGAGCACCTTCAGATTCTTATAAGACAGCCCATTGTACGGTTTCTTAAAATATTTTTAGATTGTAAAATACTTTTCTGGAATTTTAATGTAAGAATTATTTTGCCTGTAAAATAACCTCAATCACCTCGCTTATCATTTCAAAGTTATTGTAAAAAAAACCGGTCAGGTACGAGTCGAACTCGTGCGCCGAGGGTTTCGTGCCTACCCAGATTTTACGTCGATTTTCGCGAAAATTTGTAAGTACCAAAATTTATCTTAATTTTCAACTTTTTTTATTTTTTGGAATTATTCCTTTATTTGTGCTGTAAGAGGTTTCTTTTTACCAAATTTCGTTTCTTCTTCTATTCTATTCTAGGTCAACGGGAACTACCTACCTACATATAGGTTTTCGACCCAAAACGTATAGGGTACTTCCGGTTGACCTAGAATTGACAAATTTGGTTTAAAATAAAAAAAAATGAAAATTAAGGAAAATTTTGGTATTTACAAGTTTTCGCGAAAATCGAAATTTCCCCATATCTTTTTATCGTGTTGACACAGGGCCTTGATTTTTGTCCAGACTGAACAGGGACCTACTAGAGGAGGCAGCCATAATTCACTCGTGGCTGTCTCCTCAGGCTCCGACCGAGGAGGTCGACGTGGGGGCTGGTCGCTTTCGCGATGCGATTACGCATATCTGCGATGCGGCCATGCCCCGCATTCGAGGTCGTCGGCCTCATAGGAAGGAGGTCTACTGGTGGTCCCAGGAGCTGGCGGACCTCCGTGCGGCCTGTACACGTGCCCGGAGGTCCTACACGCGCAGTCGGCGGCGTCACCGTGGAGACGGTGAGGAGGACCGGCTTCATGAGGAGTACCGACAGGCGCGGAAAACTCTGAAGCTGGCCATTAGCCGCGCCAAAGAAGAAAAGAGAGAGGAGATGCTGGAGGGTCTTAATCGTGACCCCTGGGGTCGCCCTTACCGCGCGGCGCGACGAAAGCTCCGCGCGTCGGGCCCCGCCCTTACGGAGACTCTCCAGCCCAGCTTCCTGGGAGAAGTGGTTGAGGGCCTTTTCCCGCAACGGGCGGAACACACTCCCCCGGCGATGGCCTCCTTGGCCGGAGACGACGGGGAGCACGGGGAGGATAATGTTCCGCCCGTCCGGGATTCGGAGGTAGGGGCGGCTGTTCTACGGATCCGTTCCAAGAACACCGCCCCTGGGCCAGACGGGGTACCGACCCGAGTGCTGGCCCTAGCCCTCAACCACATGGCAGACCGCCTCGGGGAGGTGTTCGACGCTAGCTTGGCGTCGGGAGGCTTCCCTGAGTGCTGGAAGAGCGGGAAGCTGGTCCTATTAAGGAAGCCGGGACGGCCTGCCGATTCGGTCGCGGCCTACGGGCCCATCGTGCTGCTGGACGAGGCGGGTAAATTGTTTGAGAGGGTTCTCTCTGCCCGCATCGTCCGGCACCTCTACGAGGTGGGCCCCGATCTGTCGGACGCCCAATTTGGTTTTCGGGCGGGGCGTTCGACAGTCGACGCTGTGTTGCGCCTGAGGGCCGTGACCGAAGAGGCCGTGAGCTGTGGCGGCGTGCTGTTGGCGGTGTCACTGGACATCGCCAACGCATTCAATAGTCTACCATTCAGCTGCATCAGATAAGTGGAAGGGGTGGGTTTCCCCTCCACCCGCATTAGTTTGGCCAGCCGCGAGGGGGCATCGCCCGCGTGTGCCGGACGTCGCCTAAAGAGAGGAAAATTTTGAGACGGGGCCCGCAACAGGAGCGGGCCGGCGCTAGGAGGGGTCCGGATGTCTTAATTACAGCTGTTCCCGGATCCCTCCTATTACAGGCGCAGAGTCGCACACCGTGTGGTTTCAGTCGGTCCGAGTCCGACACACCACCCCGCCGCAAACCCCGGTGGGGTGCCGGTCCGAGGGGATTTCCACACGTTAAAAAAAAAAAAAAAGGGCCTTGATTTTTGTACACCCAATAGGGACTATAGACCTCAGTATCTGGTATAAATTTCAACTTGCTAGGTTTACCCGTTTCTGAGAAAATCGGTGGTGACACACGGACAGA